AGCTAAAGGTTACGACGGTGATCGAAAACAAATGGAAGAATTATCACTTTTTCATTTTTAAAAAGCCACCGGTGGTGTTTGCTGGTATTTCATGTGCTTTATTTTATTGCAGAATGGAAGGACACTATTGGTGGAAATTGAACAAATAGGTGGCAGTAATGCAGCTATTCTGAACTATCGTGCTATTCAAACCCCAAAGCAGCGAGCGATTAGCTACAGGGTTAGCCAGATTAGCTCGTTTGAGCCAAGATTTAGAGGAAACTCACAAAAAGTGAAAATCTACAACTAAAAACAAATTCTCAAACCTGGTGGAACACAATTTCAGTGTTATTTGAGGCAGTGGTTTCCAGGTTGTGGGGCGTGACCCCAAGGTGTGGCGCGGGGTAGTTGCAGTTGGAGTAAATTTTTTTTTGGCACAGTGGGTGGGTTTATGAGGGAGATTGAAAGTAGTTGCAGTTGAAGTCATGTTTTTTTTTATTTTTGGCGTAGTGGGTGGGTTTATGAGGGAGATTGAAAAGAAATTGTAAAATTTACTTTTTCATTTTTACTGGCACATTTTTTTTGTTCTTTTCAGTTATGCAGCTATTTTAAACTATCGTCCCATTCAAACCCAAACGTAGTGAGCGATTAGCTAAAGGGTTAGCCCGATTAACTCATTTTAATCAATATTTTGTGGAAACTAACAAAAAGTGAAAATCTCAAACTAAAAAGTTATTTTTCAAATGTCATGGAGCACAGTTTCAATGTTATTGGAGGCAGTGGTTCCCAAAGTGTGGGGCAGGACCCCGAGGTGTGGCGTGCAGTAATTACAGTGAGAGTGCAGCAGGTCAAATTAATTCAGGTTTTTTCTATTTTGTTTTAGTCGGGAATATTTTAGGGAAACATAGTGTTTTAAATAACTTTGTTCATAGCGCCACCTGCAGGTGAACAACAGCGTTCGAGTGTGCAATGTAAATAAATGAAATCCACACAAGGAAGAAAGTTGATCCATTTAATTCTATGCATGATCTTAATAAGGACCTAAATCAAGATTGTCACATTTCCACGGCACACACACACACACACACACACTCTCGCGCACACACACACACATACACACAAACTAAATCCAAAAGCGCAAACAAAGAAAATGCACTTACAGTTATAGATCAAATTAAATTGCTTCAATTTCTAAGCAATGTCAATTCTGCATAAAGATTGTCCTCTAATCTCTACACCACTAACACTGAAGCAATTGATTACTATAAAATATACTTTTCTTATTAAAAAAATTATATTAAAATCTAATGGCACTTCTACGATTCTATTCAAAAGAGTTTTTTTTGTTTGATATTTAGAAGCTTTTGTCGATTTTTTTTTTTTTAAACCAATTAAAAATGGAGACAAATGTCAAATGTTGCACAGGAAGCAAACGTAATAATAAATATTTTTCTCATGATTATACACAATTTCACAGTTGTATCCTGCAGAGGACAAAATTCCAGTATCAGTAAAGTCCGTCTTTAGACTCAGAAGATCATACAGCATTTGTTAGAAAAACCTAGGCCTCGGCGGAGAGAGGCGGTGTTTTCATAGAAATCAACAATCAAATCTCAGTGTTTCACATTCAACAATGACATTGACTGAGGAACGTACTCCGAGTTCTCAGCAGAACCGACTAGAACAAACCGAAAACACAGAAATGCTTGTCGTTAGTTTAAAACAAATCCTTAAAAAAAAAAGGTTTAGTCACAGACAAAAAAACAAAAACAAATGGTCAAATAAATCTCCAAACCACAATTCTAATTTTTTTTGCAAAGCAGTCAAAAAAAAAACAAAAAAAACCCAAATGGACTTCAAACTTTCAGTTTGTCTGGCTTTAACAATTTTTTTTTGACACGATAGAAAAACAGGAACAACAGCTGTGGATTGTTTCACATCAGTGGGCGAGCCACCGTCGCCGTGATGTGAACGTTGACACCGCAGTCGAGGGCAATAAAGTACAATACACTGATAGAAAAAAAGGCCTTCTCCAGGTGCAACACCTATCTGTGTGTCTGCCAAGGCACAATCGGTGATCATCCTGGAGGAATAAATAAAGACGGCAACAGAGAAAAGGGGAAGAAAACATCCTCACAGGTCAGGAGTGGGTTCACCTCTGCACGCCGCGTCAGAAAAATCACTAAACGTCAGAGAAATGTTTCCTTAAAAACAAACAAACAAACAAACAAGAAAGAAAAACAGTGACAAACCTACATTCCAGTGGATTCAGATTGAAATTAAGTGTCGGTGAAACATGACTGTTGTTCTGTTGTGTGAACACCCGGAGTGTTTGTGCAAGAAGACAGGGAGGAGAACTTCACTTCCTGTTCAACTCAAAACAAGCGTCTTTCTCTCACTGAGGCTCCTCCAGCTGCGGGTCGGGGAACAGGACGACGTGATAAACGCTTCTTCCGTTTCACCTCCACTCCACTCGTTCACAGTCAGCGACCTCGCGACGGACGTTCGTTCAAGTTGGCGTACAGGTTGTCAACTTTGGGGGCAAAAAAAACAAAACAAAAACAACCCTTCAATCTTTCTGATGTGCAATCAAATCGCCGTGGAACTTGTACCACGTTGAGGAACAATGAGGCATTTATTTACTGCATGCTGCGATGGGTGGGTGGGGGCAAGGGGGGGCGCTCTTTGATGCCTCCAAACAATACACCTGTTTACAGTCTCCTTGGTCTCCCTTCGCTAAATACATTTCTCACATTCCAGGAGCTCCATTCAATACAAAAAAAAAAAAAAAGTGCAGAGAGAGATATGCGGCGGCTTTTCTCCCCACAGAGAGGGAGAGAGACACACAATGATCTCTTGAGAGCTACCTGGGACCTGGTGAAGGGGAACAATGGCCGTATTGTGTTGGCTTCTTTAGGCAGCAATTGCTGTATTGATGCGGTTGTGCTTGAGAACCACTGTATCCAGTGGCGGAACAGCTGTTCGGAGTGTTTTTGACTGTTTTGATTAGTTGTGGGGTGGAGTCAAAAAAAAAAAAATAGAAAAAGAAGCAAAGAAGGAACCAAAACTCCCCCGGGGAAGACGTCCGTCTCCCAGTGAGACACCTGACTCTCTCTGACTCTCTCTCTGACTCTCTCTCTTTCTCTCACCCCTGGGTGTGGAGTAACACAAACAGTCTGATAAATAGTATATATATTTACATTAAATATATACACACAGTAAGAAATAGCAGCCTAGACAATAGTGTTGAAACTATACGCATGCTAAAAAAAACAAACAAACAAACAAAAAAAAAAACAAGTGCTTCTCTATGTTCCATGTGACAAATCTTGAAATACTCCATAGAAGTTTCTACACACTGTATTAAAATATAGTTACAGTAACTTGATTTGCAGAGAGACAACTGACAGACAGCCCCCGAAAACCAGTTAACAAGTACCGAAAACCGCTAGGCTAGACGTGACGCCTTTCAAGCTTATAGAAAATAAGAACTACGCCTACGGTAAACCCTGAACCAAGTCAAACTAATAAATAAATTCTCATCAAGTCTTCTCAGGACAGATTAGACAAATATCGTCCACTTGTAACGCGACACCTCCCGCAAAGAGAGCGTGAGAACTGACGGAAAACACGGAATTTTCCGTTTCCCGACCGTAGATTTTTTTTTTACCCAAAACAAAAAAAGAAAAACTCTCCGACCTCAGTAGTAACTCAAATGCATACAGTGAGAGGACGCGTCGACGTGATCAAAAAAAATAAAGTCAGTAGCTTTCAACCAATCAGCACTCCTCCCACTCATCGAACACCTGACTCGCTGCGTCCAATCAGAGCGCCCTTTCCTTCCAGGAAATACGAAGGTAATTTACTGGCAACTGCTTTCGTTTGTCCCAATCTGATCAATAAACATTTATTGACAGGGACTTCATTTATATATCTTTGAGGATTTGTGTTAATGATTTAATTATGGAAGCTCTCTGGAAAGTTCCAGACAGACCATAACCGTCGCTACGACCAGGTCGACGTTTTGTTTAATTTAATTTCCAAGCAGGTTTTTTTTTGTTGCTTAACGTAGAAAGGTTTTGGGAACTTTACTGGGATTCACCTTTTTTTTTTAAATATTAATATGTTGCTTAACGAAGAAAGGTTTTAGGGTTCACCTTTTTTTTTTAAATATTAATATCTTGCGGGACCATGGGCTTAAAAAAAAAACAAACAAAAAAAAAACAGAATTGTGATGATGTCATGATCTGCCCCACCTCTGGTAACCAACTTCATTCCCACCAAACATAAAATTCTACTTCAGTGACAAATAAAAACACGTCATACTTCCAGTAGTCGGACTTCATTAGTTTTGCTGCCTTAACCATAGTTTACTTGTTAAAAACTAAACAAATCTCAAATAATAATAAATAATATGAATAGGAGTTTGTTTGTTGTTTTTTTTTAAGCTTAAGAAAACAAAAAACAAATCATATATTGCTACTCGTGGACGGTTCTCTTCTCCCACGTGCACAAACGCTGCCCTAGTTTAACGATTGTTTTACCATAAGTTAGCATTAGCCATCGCTTACTGTATTCACCCAGAGGGTTTAAAACATGGGATGTTTTTACTCCTTACAGCATATACTAATGTATATATATTTATATATATATATAAATCTAAAAGAAACTAAAACAGATTGACACAAAAGTTCAGAATCAAACAAGTGCATCCTCTGGTTTGTTCACCTGCGCTCACACAGATCCAGCTTTTTTTTTTTTTCTTTTACAGCACCCATGTTAATGTGAACATCCTGTGATGAAAGAAAAAAAAACAAAAAAAAAAAACCTACAGCTCCAGTCCTACAGTCGCTACAGCTGAAACTTTGAGAAATGAAACAACCGCTGGACTCCAGTGGATCGTTCTCCAGCCGTGTGTGAACAAACAGAAAAAAAAACAACAACAACTCAGTGTTTGTTTGTTTGTTTTTCAGTGAATGAAAAGAGCTAACAGTCCTGTGTGATGGCACTGGTGACCGGTGTTTGTTTTTGTTTTTGTTTTTTTTATCCAATGGAGAGCGTCTTGACAAGGCCACAGTGAAACTTCCTGATGTGGCGGTACAAATCCCCGGACTGGGTGAAACGCCGTTCGCACCACTTACAAGCGTGCGGCTTCTCGCGCGTGTGCACGACGGCGTGTCGACTCAAGTTGTGGGAATACTGGAAGCTCTTGCCGCACTGTCCGCAGGTGAACGGCTTCTCGCCGGAGTGCGTGCGTTCGTGGCGTTTGAGGGTGTACATGCAGGAGAAGGTCTTGTTGCACTGCAAACAGGTGGGCACCGACCCGTCGGGGGACAGCTTGGAGCGGGTGCCTTCCTTCTCACGGAAGTGTGAGCTGAGGTGAAGCTGCAGCACGTGGGGGCTGGGGAAGACTTTGCTGCAGAGGGGGCAAACGCACACCTGTTGCCCCGGGGGCAGCAGCACCCCGCTGGAGGTGGAGATGTCCGAGGAGGCCAGGTCGTCCTCCTCTTCCTCCTCGCTGTCTCCCAGCAGCCTCCCCCTCCTCTCGTCTAACTCCCTGCCCGGGGCGCCCTCCCTCCCCCGGCAGGCCTCCCCCTCTTCGTCCATCAGGTCCTCCTCCTGGGAGAGGAGGGCGGCGGTGGAGCCGTTGTTGCCTGGGAAGAGGGCAGCGAACCCTGTCACCACTGAGCTCCTGGCACTATTCCCAAAGCGCTGGCTCTCGGGGCTCGTCGGCTCACTGTCCTCCTGCTCTGACAGCAAGTCGTGTTCCTCTTTAACAAGTGGCTCAATGCCCTGCTGCTGGCTGTCGAGGGCCAGCTGTCCCGAGACGTAGGAGGGGTGTAAGGGATCTCTGCTAGACAGAGGCTTGAAAGACAAGTCCAGTGCACAGTCCATGTCATCTGAAGCCCGGGACCTCTGGGACAGTGATACGGTGGAACTACTGACATCAGCTTTTGTTTTTCCAGCTGTTTGGACGCAGGGCTCGGCCTCTGCTGACACATAATTGACACTTACAAGGTCCGGGGACCTGGCAGAGTGACCGTTCGCCTTCTGCCTGCTCCTCGTAGACCTATCGCAATCTGTGACAGCCAGCCCGACTTCGCCGTCGTCCATGTCAAACTCTTCGGCAGGGGGGGCCCTCGGCAACCCCTGACACTGTATCGGGGGCTGTCGCCTGACGAGCTGCTTACTGTGCAGCTCCTCGTCGGAAGAGTTTTCCCTGTCCAGGCAGCTCAGTCCAAAAGTCTCGCTCAGCTTGGCGTCCAGGGAGGACAGGTCCTTATCCTTCAGCTTGCCTTTGCACACTTTAACTATATCATACATGTGGAGGTAACTGGCCGCTGCCAGGACGTCCTCCACTGGCAGGGTGCTGAATTCCAGCTTCCCCTCATACATAAATTCAAGGAGCAGGCTGAAAGCAGGGGCTGTCACAATATCACTGTTGAGATGCACAATGTCCCTTTTGTCTAGCTGGTCCCTGTAGAAGAGATGGAAGTACATGCTGCAGGAGGCCAGCACGGCTCTGTGCGCTCTGAATCTAGCCTCCCCGACTAGAACAGTGCAGTCACAGAGGAAACCTTGGTGACGCTGCTGACTCAGACACTGCAGCAACTGGCGGCTATGGTCTGGGAACTCCATTCTTCCTTCATAACCTGGTGAGAACAGGAAAAACAGGACAGTGGATGAAGCAAGTGGAGCGCAGCGGAGAAACGGGGGCGCACAAAAGGGCTCGGAAACAAACCAGAAAAACGAGAATCACTCGGGTCAAATCCACAGTTTTAGGGACATGGACACAGAGTTTATATTAGCGAAGGAAAAAAAAAACATTCCCCAAAAAGTCTCCAAAGCTACTTTGGCTAACTTAAAAAAAGGGTACACCGTGTGGACAGGGATGCAGGACAGGCTGCGCCGCGCTCACCCACCCATCGTGTAAACGGATCCGCTGATCCACACCGGTTCGTGGGTTGTGTAGTAGTCAGCTCCGCGTCCTGCGCTCTCCAAAATGTAACGAACAGTGACACAAACGCCCGGCTTCTTCCGACCGGAGGTAGAATGAACAAAAACAAAAACAAAAACCAGCGGTGTTTACAGCACAGACACACCGGCACCGGGGCTGGGACTTTGAGGGATCCACAGCCGTCCACCGCGCAGTCAGGCCGGCGTGAAGAAAATGCCAGCAGCGCAGTGTAAGAGTGAGTAAACTGCTGCTCTGTTTGCTAATTACACTGCAAGCTGTGGAGTCAGCTGCTCTGACATCACCGCAATGGAAACGCTACCTCCAGCTGTGCTCCCCTCAATGCCATATGTTAACCCGGGTCCAAAAAAGACGTATATCTGTCACCGGGAATACCGAGTGGTCATTGAAGAAACTTTTAAAATCGCATCTTCTTTAAATTCAACTACATCGGCTATTCTCCAACGCGAGTTAAAGCGACTTTACAAAAAAGATTTTTACGCGCTATCCCAACGCGCACACAGCTGGAGGATTTTACGTTAAAAGAGTAACTTCAAAACAAAAAAAAAGGCAGATGAGAGAACGAGGAGGGGGGGCAGGAGGGTAGGGGGGCCTAAAGCGGGATAAATGTTCGAGTTTAATGCCATCGATTAAGCGGTATAAAATACGCAGGATTCTTTTTTTCTTTTCTTTTCTTTTTCCTTCATGCTGAGGATGTGTGATCGTGTTTAAAGCAGAAACGGAAAAGTGCACGTAAAGAGACCCGGGGGCCAAGGACGCAGTAAACCGAGCTCCGAGTCAGTGTCGGGAAGCGCATTGCTGAGATCCTTTTAAACAGCCGAGGAACTCAGCGAAGCCCAACTGCGCCGAACGGAGCGGCGAGGCGACACTTTAACTTTCGCTTCCTTTCGTTTCCACACCGGACACAAGACGCGGCACTTACATTGACTTCCTTTCTCTTCGTCGTTCCTTGTTCTGCCTCCTACAAGACCAGATTTCCTCTCATGATGTGCGTCCAGATGTTCGCTTCTCCGCGTCGTTTCTTGAGCTCCAGTCCGACCCTGGCAAAGCAGGCTGCACTCAGCGCTGCTGTGTGTCAAGCAGGTTGATAATGGCTCAAGTCTCGCGATATCAGTCCGCCACAAGTTCGGTACTTCTCCGGGAATTCACACAGCGGCAGCAAATAGCAGACACACACACACACACACACATTATGTGGCTGGAAAACACCTGTCTCTCTGACTGCTGTTTCATACCGAGTTTCAAAGCAGTTTTAAAATGAAAAAATAAGTTTCTGGCATTAAAAGAATCTGCTAAGAAAAGAAAAAAAAAGCCGTGGAGATCTACGAAGTTATTCCCTTAGTCATTGAAGAGGGATAAAACGGATTATTTTACTGCGTCCTTCAAAAGGATTCTCGTTGTGTTCGGTATTTTGTTTTGTTCTATTTCGTAATAAAATATAAATAAATGATATATGAATAACCGAGCTAAACCAAATGAGGCAGAACTGACATTTAAAGCCTAAACAAGAAGACAAAGCCAGGCTAGTTAGCACGTTTAGCTTAGCCAAACTTAGCTTCCTTAAATAAAAAAAAGGAAATGTTGCAAAATGGAAGACAGTTTTATTTTTATTTTTTTTATTATGTTTCAAAAATGTTTTAAAAGATATTTTGACGTTTGGTCCTTATGTTGTTAAATGTCTACAGCCCCACAAAAAAAGGTCTGTTATTAAAAACAGACCTGGGGCTGGTCAGTAACACCAGAGCCAAAAGAACAAGTTAAAACGTTCCAGTTGTAAAATGATGTATTCTGGCAAAACAACAGAGGTCTGCAGCTGATAAACATCACATCCCGTGGAACAATGTGAAGTTCACTGCAATACTCCACAGGTGATGGCGCTGTGTGTAAAAAGTACAAAAAACAGACATAAAGTCAAAAGCATTGCTGTAAAAAAAATTTTTTTGTTACAAGTTTTTGTTACATTAATTACAATACAAAACTTTTTTATTTTTATTTTTTACAGCTACTTGGTTCCAAATCATCAAATTCTGCTTTTTATGTTTTTCCCCCCAAAAAAACGTACGCGTAGATGTTGTCTGTGATCGTTAAATCCACAGACAGTGGTGGTGGCACACTGGAGGAAACAGAGTCTTTGAGCTGCAGCTGCTCGTGCTTGTACCCCTCCCCAACCCCCGCCCCACATCACTTCAACCCTGTCCCCCAGCACCACCCTCCCCGTTGTCCCTCCCTGTGCTCCCCCAACTGCCTGGGTCACCTTTGCCCTGTGTTCCAGCTGTCGTGTGTTTTGAAAGGGCCATTTGCAGCTCCTCGCAGCCTTCTGACACAGAGGGGAATGAGCAATGTGACGGGAGGCGGCAGCCACTGGTCAGAAGGGGCCACTGGCTAGATTCTTATCCACTTACCGCTTTATTCCATTTTTAGTCCGGCTCCAACTGCTGGAGAGGGGAGATATCTGCACGCTGGTCGTGTCCAGATGAGCATGATTAGGCCTCGGTGTCATCGTCCTCAAATACAATTTCTTCTTAATTTGGTTCTTAAAACACTTACCAATTAGACGCTTGATATACATTACTGCAGTATAACACACTCGATATACTTATGCGGTATGCGCTACATATGCGGTGTCAAACTCAGGCCCGCAGGCCAAATCTGGCCCATGGTGTAATTAAATTTGGCCCGCAAGATCATATTAGTCATATCATATCATGTGTATTAGAGTCGTCCTGCCGGTATATAGACACTATAAACTGGCAGAATTTGTAGTATTAGTGGTGTATGCACTATATCAGTGTTTCCCCAACTTTTTTCCGGGGACTCATATTTTCAAAGTCACAAACCTTTGCGACCCAAGTCAGTAGACATTATTCGTAAACTGCTGGGAAACATGATGCGAGTGGACCCAAAACAAGAAAAAAATCTTGTGACCCACCTGAGGGCCGCGACCCAGTCTTTGGGAACCAATGCACTATATCATATTGCATACATTTTTGGTCGGTTGTTTTGGGTGTTGGCCTGAAAAAGGATTTACGTTAAAAAGGCTAGAGATTTTTCAATAAGTATTGAGTTTGGCCGGCAACTTCGTCTCAGTTTTTAATTTTGGCCGAGTGTGAATTTGAGGTTGACACCCCAGCGGTATGTTGAGAAAAACAAATCACCTTTAAGTTGTGCTGCACGCTCACATGCAGCAGCAGCAGCAGCAGCAGCAGCAGCGGTGCTTAAGAATAAGAGCCGTGGCCCCGTGTTCCACTGGTCCTGGCAAACGTCGGTGCCCGGTAGAGGAGGGGTGTGTGTTCACAGGGCAAGACAAAGCAGTGGTTGTGCATGGGGACGGTGGCCTCAGAGAGAGGCTCAGCACGGTGAAGGTTCTCACACGCAGAAAAAGACAGAGAAAGAGAGAAAGGGAGAGAGTGAGAGTGGGAGAGAGAGAGAGAAAACACTTCCTGGAGGTTCATTCTTCCTCTCTGCAATCATCAATGGCATTCTCCCCCTGACCCACTCCTCTCTCAGACAAACAAAAGAGCCTGCATTCCAGTGTAGCCTGACCGGCCAACCAGCCAGCCATCCAACCACAGTCCAACCACATCACTCTCCCCTGCTGGACGCTGGAGTCTCATCATGGGAATGGGCTTCACTGGAGACATCTGTGGACCATTGTCCTTACGCTCAAACTAAATCATCTTCAACAAGTGTAGGTTAAACCAGATGTGCTGCTTAACTAAACCCACGTGCTAGGTTCAGACATGGTGATGTCATCGTGCTCAGAAGAGCAGGAGAGCGATGTGTTCTGCAGGACCATCTCGACCCCTCACTTACGTCTATCGCGGTTCTCCTTTCAGTACATCGCAGATTTTTTTTAATCCAATCTTGTGAAATACAGCAAAAAAAACAAACCTAAAAGACATTTATACAAAATTATACAGATTTTGGCTTTAAAAATGTGGATTCCTCATTTTGAAATTAGGATAAGCGCATTTGTGAACGATCGCTGGTAGCTTTGTTTACCTAGACGAGATATTACACAGCGTGCTATTGGCTAATGCATACTCAGTGTACTATTGGCTAATTGAACATGTTCTTCTGTTCCTCACGCTGATTGGCTCATGCATCGTAGCATCTCTCAGCATCTCCCCCTGTCTGTCGGCCACTCTTTCGTTCAGTTCGCTTTGTGTCGCCATTCTACAGCTCTACTGTTTAAATGTTCAGTTTGCTCTGTGTCGCCATTCGACAACTCTACTGTGTAAGAAACGGTGATACAGTCTAGGGAGGGTTGATAACAGTGTGGGGGGGAGGTTAGTAAAGGGTAGATATATACGTAAATATTGTATCTTGCCTCTACTTCACAATTTTTCCCATTTTGCAATGGGCCTTGGAACGCAACCACCTCGATAGGAGAGGGAACACTGTACACCACAGTTGCACACACTGGCCTGCTCAGTCAAATAATGGGATTAGAACACATTAATGAATCATGTAATCAACAATCACAGTCAATGTGCTGGTGTGGTTAATAATGGTTAATAACGGTTGATAACAGTTAATAACGGTTTATGGCGGTTAATAATGGTTAATAATGATTAATAATGGTTAATAACGGTTAATAATGGTTAACAAGGGTTATTAATGGTGTTAATAATGATTAATAATGATTAATGGCGGTTAATAATGGTTAACAAGGGTTATTAATGGTTAATAATGAGTAATAATTGGTAATTAATGGTGAAATACAAATATTACAGACAAAAAAACAGCCTGGTTGTGGAGACGGTTCAGAAGCCAGTGTGAAACGCTGCTCATCGTGCTCTAACTGGACCGGGCTGAATGGGTTCTGTTCGGTATTAAAATCATTCACTCTGCCATTTTAACAAGCCCCATGTGTGGGCAGTGACCCAGCCTTTTGTCAGGGATCGGCATGTGTGCATTTTTAGTTTCTTCTCCTAATCAAAAACAAAATGGAGATCGGTGATGAAGGGGGTTTAAAGTGAACCCCAGCTGTACGTGAGGGTGAACAGGTGTTTGTGGGCAGACTGGGCCTGTGATGAACATTTACAGCTGAACTCTGCAGTTCCTCACAGGATGGAAGGGAATAAAGAAGGTGAATACATTAAAAGTCCTGTACAGGATTATTGTTTGATGGAACAGTGAACACACGGTACATGTGTTTTAATACAGACCTGTACAGGTTTTAAATGATGAAACCCTAAAAAACAAATGACCAAATCTTCTTCTTCTTCTTCTTCTTCTTCTTTTTGCACAGTTCCTACATTAATTTGTTGATTGGAACTGTGTGTTTTACAGTTTTACACCAACTGAAAACAAAGTATTATTTTTAAAAATCTTCTCCTCCTCCTCCTCCTTGATCTTCTTCACCAAATCATTTTTACAAATGTTAATTTCTGAAACATATATATTACAACTCTGATCTACCTGTAACGATGCAAACACAGTAAAAGCACCTGTGACGTACGACAAAGATCTTTTTTAACTTTTCTTTTGCTGAAAGTTTAGGCAAGAATAACATTTCACACAAAATGATTTCACTTTCCATCGACTCCATTTAATCCTCCTGAATCCTGATTCTCCAGCAGAGTATTTACTGTATACACTGAAAATACACCGTGCCGGTCACATTGCAGTGCAGTTGCTGGGAGATGTGGTTCTTGTCCTAATTGTTACTACTGTGTACAGCCCATGTGGTCTGGTCAGGTACTGACAGAGGTCACATAAAAGTACTACTCTACTACGTTTGCTTTAAGCAGGAAAAAAACAAAAAACAAAAGTGTAGGATTTCAAAGATTTTGGAAAAGAAGTGAAGGAGGAGGAGGAAGACGGGGGAGGGAGGGTGCTCCTTTATACTCCATGCTGGTTGTATGGCAGGGCCAGTTTCACCGGGGAACACAATCAGGTGACAAAGAGGTTTGCACTCTCTAAATCATATGTGTCAAACTCAAGGCCCGGGGGCCAAACGTGGCCCACCAAGCCATTTTGTGTGGCCCACGGGGGCTTAAAAAGCATTTAGTAAAATCCATGCAGCAGAGAATATTTGTAGCTTGAAGTACATTTTTTCACTGTGGCCCAGTACTAAATGACTTATAGACCGGTACCGGTCCGCGGACCGGGGGTTGGGGACCCCTGATCTTAACAGTCTTCCATTTACAACTGGCCCTTCAAGGGGAACTGTATTGTCGATATGGCCCCTGAAAATGAGTTTGCCCCTCCCCCCCCGCTCTAAATGCTTCTTCTTGTATTTAAATGTGCTTAAAAACCTAGAGCGCCACCGGTTTGGTGGCAGCTAACAGTGCAGGAGGATGAGAGATTATAGACCTTTCCAGAATCTCATACGGAGGATTATTTTTACACACGGGTCGATGTCATCGGTGGCTTACATTTGATTCAGAGGATCTCAAAATATTCCGGCCTGTCTGTACCTGTCCTGAACTGGTTTAACTCCTGCCTCCCTGGCAGTGAGCGCTCGTAACCGTGGATCACTGTTTATCCTCAAACAGTCTGACAGAACAATCAGGATCATAATCCAGCGAACCAGAAAAAATGAGAGCTTCACCATTTTGTTCTTTTAAAATAAAAATGTTAAAAGTAGCACAGTGGTAAATTAATATTAAATTCATCATAATCATCATATATATATACATATATGTGACCACAGTTCTCAGATTCATCTTGGCAGTATGATATAAAGTTCCAGGAAAAATAAATTGAGTGTTAAAAAAAAAAGTAAAAAGTTTCCAGCCAAAAAAGGAAACACTGTAACAGGAGTGTATTTATAAAGAGCTCCACAAAGTAGCATATCTAAAGGTCATGTATGTATATTTTTTATATATATATTTTTTTAAATGTCAGGAAAAATGTCTCCTGCAGAGATACGGTGATTCTCTCAGCATCAGCAGACCATAATAATGTCAGATATGACCAGAAATATCTGTAACTATGGCAGCTCAGCACTTACTTACTACTACTCTTAATTAATTGATTTTAGCATTAAATAATTACTGGGCAATAGACAATGTGTTTATAATGTAGAGCAGGGGTGTCAAACTCATTTTCACCAGAGGGAGGTGGGGGGGGGGCGCACATCTGCAATACAGTACCCCTTGAAAGGACGGTTGAACCTGTAAGACTGCACAGCTGTAATGTAATAATTTCTGCAAACGACTTTTATTTATTCAAGTTACAAATATTGTAAATTGCTCTGTGTAATAATAAAAAAAAAAAAAAATCAAGTTAAGAACTCACCAACGTGGACTTTATTATAAGGCAATTAAACACTTTTTAAGCTCCTGCGGGCCACACAAGGTGACCAGGCGGGCCACATTTGGCCCACGGGCCTTGAGTTTGATACATATGATGTAGAGTAAAACAGTAGTTAGTTGTGTATCTTGTGTTCATAAAGTCATCGCTGTACATTGTGGGAAACCCTTTAACCAAATCATTTGATATGACTAAAAATAAAGGTAATTAAAAATATAAAAAATAAAAATAAAAGCATATTTTGTGCCATCCCTGAAGTCTTAGTTTTTGTTTTGTCTGTTGTCGGTTGAATATTTTAGCTGATGCTTCACAGTCATCTGTAGCATTACCAGTGTAATGATGCTGTAATCAAACTGATGCTAATCTATCTTTTGGTGCTAAGAGACCAAATTTACGCTTATGTCACTGTAACCTTTCGCTGACCTCATCATCGTCACCTCATCTGTTTCAATGTATTTACGTAACTCCGTACTATGACAGTTTTTTTTTCACATTTTCTGTTCTTCTTTTCTTTTCCTTCGATTTTAAAAACATAAATAATTGTATTATTATATATATTAACAATAATATTTATTATTATTATTATATTGTAAAACTGTCAAACTGACTGTACTTCTATTATAACAATATCTAATTATTCTGGTGATTCTATACTAAAATATTGAATTAAGATTATATCATTAAATTATTATTATTATTAATTAATTTATATAATTAAAATAGATAGTAGGTAGGTAGAGTGGGTGCAGTGAAACGAGTGTCTTTTTAAATATCAGTTCTATATCTGTACCGATTTCTTTTTATGAAGTGATGACGTGTGGAACATTTATTAGACTTGATCCAACATTTAAAACAAAACATCCGCTTGTTTTAAATTCGATCCGAGTACAGTTTGTAAAAAAAAATAAAATAAAAATATGTAGTTGGCAGTGAGCCTGGTCTGCATAATATTATCTTTATTATTGTTGTATTTGTTTTTGTTGTTGGCTGGTGGTGGGGGTACTTACTGGGGGTGGGGAGGGGGATCCCTTTTCACAAGAAGCCCCCGCGGGTCCCGGGACTCTATTATGAGCTGAGATAAAACAGCGCTGAGTTCAACAGGGTCGGTTAGAAAAAGCGCCTGTATAAAAACACTGCGGGGTGACGTTCTTGTTTTTTTTTTTTTTCAATGGGAGAGTGTGACTCACTCACATACACTCTCTAACAGTTTGTGTCGGTCGGCGCTAGGACCCGGGAGAGCAGGCTGCCACAGAGGCATTGCAGACTGCGCGTTTGGGAGGTGTAGTGGAAGAAAGGCAAGAGAAACGGAGTAAATGAGAGCACTTTTGTCCAGATTGTTGAAGGACTTATCAACTTAATATACCGCCGAAACTGCTCCCTATAATGAGACGGACACACTGTTGAATTCCTGCGCAGGTAAAAACGCCCGCGTTCCCTTCGCATGGTTAACTACCAGAGGTCGACAGCTAGACAGGGTAGGTCCCCATTGTACTTACATGGGATGCGGTTATTCTCACCCAGTCTGTCCTGCTAGGCCCCATATCCTCTTCGTCGCTTCATGAAAACCTAAAACGAGCTTCGTTTCTCACTTCTCTCCGCCTAGGAAGTTTTCCTCTGGCCAGTGACTTGTAAAAAAGAAGCTCCAGTAGGGCATAATAAGGCGCCGCCGTGTGTTATTTTCCTTTTTTTTTTTTTTTACTTCTTGCCTACAAAACAACAGCACGTCTCCCTCTCTGTGTCTGTGTGTAGACGTTAACCATTCATTTTTGACAATGACCACTTTGGAGACACAGCCCTCAGGCTGTAATATCTGCAGTCCTGCTCACTTTTTAACGACCAGAAAGTGCTTCTCACTCGTATTCCGTGAAGCAGGAGGTAAATGAAAACAAATGAGCTCAGACAGGGAGCTCTCCATTCATTGTTGTGACCCACCACTGCGTTTGTTTACTCATTTGAGCCTGAGATATTAATTGCAAGAACCACTCGCCTGCTCGAGCCTGTTGCTGTTGTGGTGCGTTCACAGACACACATGTAAAGTCTTACATTATTTTTTATTGTAACTCTTTACAATGGGTTTCCCATTGGAATTTTATTGGTATTGGACTTGCACTTTCACTTGTTTTTTTTCAGAATTTTTTTTCTCTCTCCTCTCCCTCCTCTCTGTGGGTTACTATTTTCTCTCCTGACTGTTCTCATTCCCACTGCAGTGATGTCACTCGTGCATTTCTGTACATGTTAAGTGCAGTGGTTTTTCAAATGTGGCTTTTATTTTCCTAGAAATCTTATCAAACTGGCTGCCTGTGACGTAAAGCACGTCGGCGGGGAGCCCAGATGAGAAAGTTCACCCTGTAGACGCGCATCTCACCGGCACCAGGCCTCATGGATGTGCAAGATTTAGTGTCTCCACTTGAGATAGTGCCCCCCTCCCCCTCGTGTGAAGTCATGGTATTGTTCCGTCTGCATGGACTGTATGGAACGAGAACATTGTCCCCAGGCATGTTTGTACTGGTTCCGCCTTTAGTGTCAAAAGTGTTTTTTTATTGGTCATGAGACTGCCTGTGTACTGTTGGTGTATGTGCGTACGCAGGGGGGTTAACCATGTGACCCAGAGAAGACGCAACAAGCTGGCATAGTGATGCAGCCACTATCTGCTTGTCTGTCCCGTCTTGTATTTAGCAAAATACCAGTCACCTCCCACCCAATCCCCTCGCAGCTCCATTGACGTAAGTGTGCCACCAGTTGCATGCAGAATCTCAGGAATGCTGTTTGAAATTTGTACGCAGACAGACCTACGTCGACTGCCGCCCCTCCTTCTCGTCTGTCGACCTCTGCCACAGGGCTTTTAATGTATTGTCTGGAGAAAAGGAAAATTCCCTTTTTTTTCTCCTTTTTTTTTTTTTTTAAATGAAGGCAGCACCAACTGTCTGCATCACATTAGTGGTCGACCCTCCTGTGGTCCACGTCCTGGTGCACTGAGTAAAATGTATTAATATATAAAAAAAGAGTTTTATATTTCTTTACAAATGGAAGAAATAAAATCTAAATATTATTTCACTGATGCTTTTCATGTGGATACGATCAAAACAAACCCAGTGTTATTTACACCGGAGGCTTCTCTTTGTTGGCAGCCATATTAGATTATATTATATTAAATATATTTTTGATATTAGCAGACAGATTACAAAGTATTTTATTGCTAACTGGAGGCTAATATATATACGATTGACTGTACGCCCCAATATTATTTATCTTTCAGATCAAATCTTTTTAATCGTCAACACTTCTAGTTAAATAATTTAACTGTTAACAAGTTAATTTGATTTTTCTTCAAACAACGAACTTGATCTTTTAACACTCGTGAGTCTGAAGTTCCCTGTTTGTCAAATACATTTACATGTATTGTTATGTTGTGCTGCGTGTCCTCACTGGATTAAAGCGTCGCACCTTCATGGCTTCTCAGGGTCACACTCGCTGTGGCCTGTTTTTACTCACGATATTATTAATATCAGTGACGTGTTTTTCGGGGAAAAATGAAAGAGGAACTTGGCTCTTGGTGCGTAGTAGTTCTCAGTAGTACTGTCCGTTGTCTCATTGATAAAAATGCAAACTCAGTATGGCTTTAGAGACCGATTTCCGGCCAACTCCAGCTGGTCGGTTCTTGTTGTTGTTGTTTGTGTAGGTTTATGTCTGTGTTTGAATATTGTACTGCTGCTCCGCGGCCACCGGGTTGTTTACCTTCACAGCCGTTGAAAAGAAAGCAGAAACAATCCTGTATCTCTCTCTACGTACGGTGAAGGAAGTGTCGTGTTGTTGACCTGATTCTGTGCTTCCTGCCATAAACTCAGTGGGACTGTCTGTTCTGACCCACTCGCAGAAGGAGTGTGTGGTGTGTGTGGCATCCTTGCTGCATTGAACGGGGTGGAGTTTGGAGCCGCAGCCAGAAAGATGAATGATTGAAAGCTGCACCGACAGCAAGGCAGGCAGGGAGGCAGGGAGGCAGGGAGGCAGGGCCGGCAGGGCCGGCAGGGCCGGCAGGGCCGGCAGGGCCGGCAGGGCCGGCAGGGCCGGCAGGGCCGGCAGGGCCGGCAGGGCCGGCAGGGCCGGCAGGGCCGGCAGGCCCGGCAGGCGGTGGCCTAAAGGCCTCAGGACCATGTGACCTGCTGTCAGGGTACTGGGTTCATTCAGTGGCTGCTGGCTGCAGCGCTGGCAGCAGCCCAGCTTTTCCACACTGGCCGCAGTAGCAACAGGTCGCTCCCATTAAAACAGCGGCGCTCTGTTGTGGCTCCAGAGCCGGTCTTGTGCATGTGTTGCTTTTTTGGCTGCGGTGTGTGTGCGCTTAGGTCTGTTTGTGTGATGTTTCCCGATGTGTATATACAGTGTGCGTGCCTGTGTCACAGAGTACACACCAAGATTCCAAAAGGATCCAACGGTTTGTGTGATCCTGACTTTGAATTGCACTCAGTGTGCTCTTTTTTTCCTCCCCAGATCCTTCTTTGGTTCGACTAACGCTGACTTTGTGACACAAACCCAGAGCAATAAACAAAAACACGGAGGAAAATAAACCTCCGACTTATAAACTCGCTTCTTCTCGTCAAAGGCTCTGGGCAGAAAAGCAGTAAAAGATGTGTTGATCACACATTCACACACAGATGTACTGAAGCCTGAAGCCCTGCTGATATGACTCGTCAATAGTCATATCAACTTCCTGTTGTTCTCCCTACTGGCAAGTTGGACGGGGTCACTCAAACAGTGCTCTCTTTTGATGGCTTTACTCTGACGGAGCAGCAGCAGCAGGAAAATTGATTTCAGTCCGCGGTCAGAGATTGACTGCCGCCGCTTTGGCGTTTGTGTGAACAAGCGTGGCGATTGACCATCCTTTTGCTCCTGTCCTGCTCTCGAAGCCGTGTTTTAAAATGGTAAAGAAGGGCAGAATTAATGGAAAAGTCAAGTGCGGTAATCACGGCAGCCAGCAGGGTTTTTGGTTTATCAGAAGACTCTCCGTCTAGTTTGATCTTGTCCCTTGTCACTCGTCGTCCACACACATCTTTATGCTTGAGTTCAAATGTATGAGCCGTGTTCCTGTCAGACACTTTCGCATGTTTACTATCTCACTGTTTCAGTGGCTGTGGTGTTGTTTGTTTTGACTGACATGGAAGTTGTTTTTCTAGACAAACATCTCCGTGCCACTTTCACCCTGAGTCATGTGTGCGTTAAAACCGAAACGACCAAATGTAGCTACAGAGAAGAGAAGTGAATCTGCTTCTCATCAGTGGACTATAAATGTTGCAACATACAGTAGGTTAGTGTAAGTTGACTTTACTGAAAAGTTGTATCTGTACCTTGTATGCAGAGGGCCACATTTGTCTTATTGTCAAAAAATTATGATATTCTAGAAAATGTCATTTTTGAAGCTTAATATAAATAATGTATAGAAGTACGATTATATTTAATCGTATAATACGATATTCTAGAAAATGTAATTTAGCTTAATATAAATAATGTGTACAAGTACGATTATATTTAATCGTATAATAATTCAAAGGCAAAATAAATGGTTACTGACATTTCGTTGTGGGCCAGTAGAGGCCCTCGGCCCTTGAGTTTGAGACCCTGATCTACATACATTAGAAAAGTTACTACACTGTGTATTTTTTTGTTTTTGTTTGGTTTGCTTCCACACAACTCATGAGAGTCATTCTGCCAGCAAAGGTCAACAATTACGCAAGCCAAATGGTGTTAGCATAGTTAGCTTAGCCTAGTCTGGCTTGAAATACTGACTTGTATGCAATAAATATAAAGTAATAATTTTATTTTAAGATTTAATCTTGGGAGCTGGTCTGAGTTAGCTGATGTTGTGAAACCCAATTGTATTTACTGTTTTGTTTTCAGTGATGAGAAGTGAAAAACTAGCGGCAAAATATTGAGGCCACTTCTATTTGCATTCACTGTTAAGCGAGTTCAAGTTTGCCACTAGATGCTGCTTAGAAATCTTGATGAAATCAAATAATATTTAATGAAATTCTAGTAGTATTTAGTCGGAAAATAATATATTGAAAAACTATTTTCATCTTAAGGTCACTTTCCAGCTACGTTTATACAGTAGTGTATGTAGAAGATGTGCCTTAGCAGATGAAGCATCTGGACATTTACTTTATGGAATAAACAGGGAAAGAAAAAAGAAAAAAAGAGGAAGACACATGGTAACAAAATCGACTAGGAAGTATTTTTAAAACAAATATGACACGAGATATCCTCCAATGCAAAGGTTTTGAAATGGCAAAGTCCACCGTCGTACACATTGTTTATGGGAGTTGTGCTGTTCTCATCATTAAAAAATGTCCAGCATGGAATTTTCCAAATACGACAGACGTTCTCATAAATTCCACCAAAAAAAAAAAAAAAACCCACGGTCGCACACAGACATTTGAACCTTTCTCTGGTGCAGGTTCCACATGTGAAAGGGTCTGCACTAAAGTTTAAGCATGTCCTCGACTATCCTGGCTACAAAGCACAAGGGTCTTCTCCGTTCTCCCAGAGATACTCTACTATGTTGACCTGAAGGTTAATATTCAGACAAGTGGAAAAATTCCTTCACCTGAATACAAGGCTAATTTTTACTCGTCTTCAACTAATAGGTAACCAACATTGAAAAGTCGGCTATAAACCCCAGGACCTCGGCTCCAGGCTCCTGCACAGGGCTGCGAGAAGGACACTTGAGAAAGAAGGCTGCATCTCCTCCTGTGGGAAACCTGGATCCTCAACCCTGCCCACCAACATGACCAATGTGGTGATCGTCAAGGAGGGATGGCTGCATAAAAGAGGTACGAACAGTTCAACTAGATCTTTCCTTAAAAACTCCAGTCAACCCCTTTGTCACGGACCGGCGGTGTGGCGGATAAATAGATCTAAATGAAATGCTACGACTAACCTCAAAACTGCTATTTTCTAACTATAATAAAACGCTTGTTTTTTGTTCATTTTGCTAGCTTGCGGGTGTCAGTTTAGCGGTAATGTATTATTTGTTACCGGCCGCAGACGTCCCTTTAAGAAGGTAACCGATGTAAGTAAAACGTGATCTTGCCTCGGTCACAATATTAAGTCATAGACAGATGTGGCAAAGAGAATCTGGTAATTTTTCAAAATAAAATGTCGGAAATGGAAGTTTTGCATTTTTACTGTGCGGACCAGTACCAATTGACACACGGGCCGGTGCTGGTCCGGGGTTTAGGGACCAGTGGTATAAAGTATAAACATAATTTTTTTTTTTCAATATAAAAACGACTGAGCTATGTAGAAAAGCAAATGTTGATTGTAGAACTCTGGTGATACTGAAGCTGCAGAAATGGCTCCGTCAGTGACGTGAGCGAGATGACCAATCACCGGCTAATGTTTTTCCAAACTGGCCAAGATCTAATATAAAGAGACTTCCAGTTCTAATCCCCAGTGGGCCCCATTTAGCCACTCTGACAGTGCGGCTGTGTGCTGTGTCTCTGTATCGGGCGTGAGTCCTGTTGTTTGGACGAAGAGGCATTCCTCACATACCTGCTGGCTTTGAACAGCTTTGTGCGTTCATACTGGCTCTGCCGTCAAACTGCGGCTGCCTCAGCGAGCGCACTCCACCACCGTCACCACCAGGGGCAAAAAAGGATCAGGAATTTGTCCAAAAAACACTCAAGGATCCCGGGCACATTGCCAGGGAACCGGGCTTCTTACTGGAAGAGTGGAAAGACCGACTCCGACATGGGGATAAGGTGATGCGAGCAGGTCACCTGGAGAGTTCAGAGTGAACAGAGCGCTGCTGTGGCCCGTTAGCCTCCCCCCCAGACCCCACCTCCCCTTCCTCAAGACTCTGGCTAAAGGCAAAACAGGCTGTCGTGTTACACAAGGGTCGGCCTGGTTCGGCTCAATCCGTTCTACAAAGACACACCCTGGTCAGTCCCGTGAGTCTGTGGGCCTTGTAACAGTGAAGCAAAATCTCTGTGACGTAAAAAAAAACTTTTTAGAAACATTTTGCTATAGTTGAAGTCTGATCTGGCCTCCAAACAGTTTCAGGAAGAACGTCTTATTCTGGCCTGGAAAAACCAAAATAATGTCAAATATCTATATATGACATGTAAAAACATAAAAATGGTATAGAATATTTCCAAACCAGACTGCAAAGTGCGAAATGAGCATGTGCGAAACCAGACGTGGTATTGGTGAAAGTAATGGGGATTAAAAGTTTGAGCGAAAATCTGTATTTGTTTTTATGGATTTACGTCTGAATTAGTTTGTTTGGAATGGAAGCCTGCCATCTAGAGGCGGATTAGTTAACGCTCGTGAGTTGAAGAGCTGATGCTCATTACTTTAACGCAAATGTAGAGTAAAACTATTGACGCAGCACAAGTGCCAGTGTGAAAACAGCAATTGTTCCAGTTTTTCGTACACTCTCCTTCACGCAAACACAATGTAAAAAGTCGTGAAATGGAAAAGAATTGATGTGATTGAGTGAAGAAAAAAAATCTTTAAGTATTTGTTCATTTTTAACACTGTGGTGGACATTGGTGAACTGAACACATAATGTGTGCATGTGGTCGTCGTTCAGCCGTCAGAGCCTTTTGTCAGAGGAGCGGACAGGTGTCAACAAGGTTGAGCGAGGACTTGATTGTTCTCACTGTGCAGAGAGCACAGTTAAGATAATTGGAATAATAACGAGGACGGGGTTAACGCCACAGTCGAGTGTTCCACGCCTGTGAAGCAGGTCAGAGTGGAGTGGATTTGCCATCATTTGAGGAAAATTAAATTGATAATTCACACATCAACGCCACCTGGGATGTGAATGTCACAGTGTTTATTCAACAAACTAAACTGGGTTAGCAGCAGAAGGTTTTTTCTTTATCGTAAACATATCTTAACTAGGGATGGCTCAGTACAAGTTTTTCATGTCTGATGATACCGATACTGCAACTTGGAGTATCAGCCAATACCAATATCGATACCTTCTTTTCTCCTCTAGCATGCCTTTCTTTAGCGCATGCCATGCATAGTTGAGTTGAGCGTTTGGGCTAAGGTAAAAAAACCAGCAGGTCCTCAGTGCAGTTTTCATACGTCATAGTTCCTGATGAAGTTCAGAGAGGCTAAATGTAATGATGTTAAGTGGGAAGACATCAGTTCTGGTTGGTTATTAATTTAAAAAAATGGAAAAGTCATATTGGTGGTTGGTTTGTTCTGTTTGTGCTCTGAACTGTTTTGACTTATTTCTTATGAGAAGCCTTCAATTTATGATCAATTGTTTCTTAAGTCATCATGTTATCCTCAGTCATGGTTCGTCTTTTTTTTGTTTGTTTTTTGTTTTGGCCTCACAGCGGGATTGTGTAAAAGGATGACGTGACAATTGTGTGTAATATACAACTAAAACAGTAGTGAAACATTGACTGATGGAAAATCAATCTGTGCGACTTCCACACACACACACACCTACAGTGGACATCCTAGATACGACCTTCCCGAAAAAATACGAAAAAAAAACATATTCCATGTTACGAGTCTGCAACTGTGGTAAGATTTTGCTCCAAGGATACAAGGAAATATCTAGTTATCAGTGCTCAACTGAGTCCAATTTTTCTAAAAAGGATACAAGGAAATATCTAGTTACCAGTGCTCAACTGAGTCCAATTTTTCTAACCAAATTTGTGGCCCCGACATTTTGTCACTCTCGCTCACTGTCCCTCACATTTTACCTGTTACTTTCTTTCTCTCTCTCTCTCTCTCTCTCCCTCTCTCTATCATCTAAATCCAGTCCTCACTCCAGTCCTTCTCCTACCTTAGCGACCCCGACACCCTGTCACGCTGTCTCGTTCACTGTCCCTCACTGGGTTATTTCACCCATTTTTATAACAATAATATAGAATGTTTTTCTTAATTATTATCATTTTATATATTCAATATATTTGTTTTATATTATATGTTTTGATGTTTAGATGGGGGGGTTAATAGTATATTTAGTATATTTCTGTAGGGGCTTGAACAAATGAATTGGTTTTTAGTTTTTTTCAATGCGAAAAAGTCAGATCTAGAGACGCGTGGATCGAGACGCCAGAGCTGTCGTAGAACGGATCAGACTCTGACTATCTGGGGAGTCTACTGTACATGGATGGCCAGCAGTGATAGTCCTCTGGTTTTTGATGTACACGCACACACACACACACACACCGTACACACTAAACAAACAACCCTTCAGGAATAGTGAGTTGGCATGCTGTCGCAGCTCAGCAGCTGTGCCCTGTGAAATGTCACCCAGAGACGGGGTGTTTTGATTGGAGGGCGTCCGCCTGCCTCCTTGACAGGAAGGCTTTTAGTGTCGCGTCACTGTCACACCGTCTTTGCCCTAGAGTCTCGGCACAGAAGGTGAACCTGCAGTAGCCTTGTCTCTCTGTCCATCACCTGAGCCCGGCAGCCCCCACTCACTGCTGTCCTTCCACGTTGAACCATAGAAGTGCACTGTGTGTGTGTGTGTGTGTGTGTCAGTCTGTTTGTCTGTGTGTGTGTGGTGGCGTTGGCGCCACCCAAGTGAGTCACATCACCATGTGGGCGTAATAATAAACGGCTTATACTGCTTCCAAGTGTGTTCAGCATACTCATTACTCCCATGTGTGCACTCAAAACACTAATTTAACAGTTTATAAAGGATGGCCCTCCATATTTCCGCGGACTTCGTCTTCCCTTCACAACATGACTTGAGAAAAACAGCTGAAACCTGCTGTGTTTTCTTTTCTTTTTTTTGAGAAGCTGCTAACTGAGGCCTGCAGCTCTGGTGTCAGCTAAACCCTTCCACGCCACTCACGGCTGCTTATTTGATTTCCGAGCGCACGTAAAACCTCTGCAGAGACTCGTGAAGTGAGACCGGACCGAGGCTTGTTGTGCCGTGGTGACCTGTAAACGCTGCTGAAGAGCAAATTTGTCGTTAAAGCTGCAGGTTCTCGGCCCCTGTTTCTGCTCTGTCCGTTTGGTCCAGACAGGCTGCGCTGGGTGAAATGATGTCACCGTGACGGACGCACCTTCATATTTTCTTCTTAAGTCTTGTGCTGCAGTAATGTGTCTGGTTAGTGGAAAGTGTCTGGGCTGCATCATTGTTGTTGACTATTATCTACATGATGTGGTTTGCACATTTGGACAAAAGCAGTAGAGTGTGTGTGTGTCTGCATATTATTTTCCCGTTGGGAATTCTTGAAGGATTAATAAAATTCTATCTACCCACCCATCTATCCGGTGGACTCCCTAGATACGAGTTTAATCCGTTCCACGTCAGCACTGGTCTCTCGATCCACTCGTATCTAGATCGAATTTTCCCCCTTAAAAACAACCAATTATTTCGTTCCAGCCCCCCCGAAATCTATTTCCCCCCCATCTAAACATCTAAACATCAAAAACATAAATATAAACAAATATATTGATAATATAAAATAATAATACTTAAGAAAACATTTTATATTTATGTTATTTAAATGGTGGCGCTTTGGCCCAGAGGCATTGGTGTGGAACCCCAGGGTTCACCCCCTGGGCAAGTTCGAATCCCGGTTAGGGCGGTTGGTACCTTCCAGTGGACTCACCACCTGCAGGGGATTTTCAAGTTCAGGAAATTGGAACTCGGTCGAGCCCTCGTAACTGGACGTTTCCTCGTTTCAGGATCAAAATCTTGCCATAGTTGCAGATTCGTAACATGGAATACTCGACCTTTGGGAAGCTCGTAACTATGGTGTCCACCGTATACACATCTGGACATGTAAGTGTGATGTACAGTGTGAAGCACAGCCTTACGCACACAGACCACACTGCAAACCCG